GTAGCATGGGGCTCTCCTGGGCCTTATGGGGGATGACCACACCATGGTGCTTGAGACATGCTTCTGAGTGGTAAGGCTCCCTGAGGTGGAGGCGGCAGGGAGTGCCTGGAACCAAAGACTGTAGGCTCTAAGCCCCCCTGGGATAAACAGTTTTCCGGATGGATCCCACTTTCCCTGGCAACCTTTCCCATGAACTCTTTCCACTCTTAAGGAGAGGGGAAGAGGATGGAGTTCTCAGAGGAGCAGCCTGCCATGAACTTCACAGGAACTTCTTCCGGCCCCTGCAGCTCCCCTTCTTTTCTCTCTTTATCCCCCTCCCTGGTGGTGCTCCCTGGCCCACTCTGTGGGTCTCCCCTTGCTGAGTATTTCCCCTTCTGACTTCTTTATGCCTGCCTTCTTCCTTCCTACTTCGGGCTGTTTCTAGGTCTTCTTGCTTTGAGTCCGGTTGCTGCCTCATCCCTGGCACTCCCTACAAAGTCAGGCTGACATCATTCCAGTCCGATAACAACACTCTGTTGGGGGTCGGGTGGATGGAGGTCATAACTCACCCTCCCTGATAAGCCTTCTTACAGCATCAGAGAGGAGGCAGCAGAGAGTTCTCCGCACTCTGCAGCGCAGCGGGCCTTCTGTTGGAGCACCAAACAGCTCTCAAATAAAGACAAGGAGACTTAACATTGGTTATGAGTGCTCAACCTTATCTTAGACTTGCCCTGCTAGCTCTTAAAACTTAAATTAACTTGTTTCTCTTCGTCTACATTTTGTCTCAGAGCTTTTTACCTTTCTTTCATTCTGTATGTTCTACTCCGTGTCTGGCTGGCTGGTGGGTGTCTGCCCAGCTGGCTGGCCCAGGCACCTTCCTCTCTTTCTCCCTTTTTCTTTTCTCTTCTTTCTCTTGTGCTCTCATTCTCCCTCCTCCTATTTATTCTCTCTGCCCACCAGCCCTGCCTATTCCTCTACTCCCTAGCTATTGGCTGTCCAGCTTTTTATTAGACCAATCAGGTGCCTTAGTCAGACAAGCAACACAATTTTACATAGTTAAAGACATGCAGCATAAACAAATGTAACACATCTTTGCCTACTTAAAGTAATACTCCACAACACTGCAGCCCCCTCAGCTGCCAATGAACTCACCTCATCTTTCCCTCGGAGCTAGGCTAGTCTGCAGAAGACCGCCCTGCCCACCCACCTGTACAGAGAGGACTATGTGGGGAGTCACTGTGAGCAGATTTCCAGGTGTAGTGGGCTCTTTCCTCACTGTCACAGAACAATAGGAACTCCCATTTCCATCTGTAAATTGAATTCTGTGTTTACTATCTCTGTGGGTCAGATGCTGTGGGTTCACATAGCAACTTCAGAAGGATGCTGGGAATTGATCATCCTCCTGTTGTCTAGAGGTGAGACCTGAGGATTAACCCAGCTAAAGGCAGGCCCCAGGGCAGCTGGTGGACAACAGATCCCATTTTGTGATCTCTTGGCACCAAGGTTCAGTTAGCCCACCCAGAAGCACTGGAAGATCCCAGAAACCTGAATGCTCAGACCTCTCCAGGAGTATTCTCCCACCCTGCCCATCTCCTCCTCAGACATTACTCTGGTTCCCAATGATGCTAAAGCCTTTTGCAGTATTTTTAAGAGAAATCTGAACATTCTCTGCACACACTGATTCCTTTCCCAAGTCACAGACCCACTCATTCCAGAAGATCATCCCTTCTAATTATAACAATCATTGTCTGATTGCATGCTTTGACTACACAGTTTTATTTGCTCACGTTAACTGCATAATTAAGACAAGCAATTCCATGGTGGTGGGGTGCTTGGAATATTTCCTGACTCCAAATAGAAGTCCAGTGTCCAGACAGGTGCTTCTTCTGTCCTTTTTGGGGAGACAGTAGAGACTCCAGGGGAGAGTGACCATTTCTCTTAGCATTTATGGACATCACTAATTCAATTTGTTACTGTCCTCGTGGCCCCCGCAGCCTCTGTCATAGGTGTACCTACCTGTACATAGTCACTAGCTTTGGAGAATTGTGTTAGGACTTTCATGTACTTCGTTTTGGGGAGCCCAACTCCAGAGGCCATCTCTAGAGATGCCTCATGACTGGGGCAGCTCAAGTCTGGATAAATGGTTTTCAAGGAGAGGCTGGGGGCAGACGGCTGATATCATCTTTCTCCTGGACGCTCCCCACTCCCTCCAGAAGCCCCGTAGTTAGGGCAGACTACAAGCTAGTCCCTTCCCTGCCTTCCCTTCCTCTGTGCCCTGTAAAGACCACTTAGACCTCACCCTCCAGGAAGCCTTTGTGGGTTAGTTAGTACTGCTTGGGCATCACCCATAGGATGCTCCAATCCTGTCTATCCAATGGTTTGTCCACCAGGGGGTCCTCCTCTCAAGGGACTGAGGATTCTTAAACGGCCCTTCGGAAACCGTACTCATCCCTCCTTTCTTCTGCATGGATGCCCGCATCTCCACCGTAGAGCCCGCGGCCCCTCCCACACTGTGTGCACACTTGCAAATTCAGACTTCCTTCACACTCTCCTGGGGAACTGGCTATTTACATAAGTATTATAGAAGAGCCTCTGGTAAAGCCTGATATCACTTTCTGTTTTATTTTCTATATAATTTTGATTTTCCTCTTTCTAGGGGAAGAGGCAGGGTGAAGGAGAGGCTACAGGTAAGTTTATGTCTTTTCACAGCCTATGTATGTACTTGGGTCCTGTATGACTCTGCATGGCTCAGCATGTCTAAGTTAAATCTCTTCTACCAATAAATATGTGCACAAGGCCATCTGTATATAAAACTTGGTGTACAGGAGGCATCATGATGGGAGAGACTCAGACCCTGCTACTGAAAGTCAGAGGGAGAGATGGGAATGTCTATGCTGGGTATACTAACCAGTGGAGTAATGACTGCACAGAGGGATGGATGTAGGATTCCCTTTGCCCAAGGCTGGGGAAAGCAGAGAAAGCTTCATAGAGGAGGTGATTTTAAGGCACACAGAGTTTGCAGGATGAGTTGGTAGAGTTCAAATAGGGAAAGCAAGCAGAGACGAAGGCAGGCTAATGTGGCTGGGGTGAAGGATGAAAAGTGGAGAGGCTGGAGTGCTAAGCTCGAGGCCAGGCCATGAAGACCTCAGGTACCACGCCAGGTGCTGTGGGATGGTCTTTCTGTACGCTGTGAATATGTGCTGCTACCATTGGTTAATAAAGAAGCTGCTGTGGCCTATGGCAAGGCAGAATTGAGCCAGGCGGGGAATTCAAGCAGAGAGACAAAGAGAAGAAAGGCAAAGTCAGAGGAGAAGCTGAGCACTGCCAGGGAGTTGGGGAGGAGGGAGCAAGATGCAATGGAACACAGGCAAAACATAGATGAATAGAAATAGGTTGAATTAAGTTGTAAGAGCTAGTTAAGGATAAGCCTGAGCCATAGGCTAAACAGTTTGCAATTAATATAAGCCTCTGTGTGTTTATTTGGGACAGAACGGCTACAGGACCAGGTGGGACACAGGAAAACTTCTGGCTACATCTAGGAAAACTTGTTTTTATTCCAAAAGCAAAAGAATTAAACTTAGAGGACTCACAGTAATTTTAGGATCATCCTTTTGGCTGTGTACTGAGTGGGTCTAAGGTGGTAGCTGGATTGGGATGACAATGAGTCGGAGCGGCGGCTGTAGGGAGGCAAGAGCCTCAGTCACTGGGCACAGTGGGAGCCAGAGGGGAGGTGAACTTTGGAGGAATCTTCAGGAAGAGGAGGAACAACAGGAGTTTCATTGGCTAGGATTCCCTACTTGGAAGTGCTGGGCCATCCAGGACCAGAATCTGGGTCATCTGCCAAGATCGAGAATACAGGAGCGGGAGAAGAATGAGCGGAGGTGACAGTCCTGGTACTTAGGGGTATTTCTTTCAGCTGCTGTTAGATGACAAGGTCAGAAGACAGGGGTGAAGGTTGAGCAACCTTGGCACAGGGGGTCGGGTCGGGAACTGTGGAAGGGCAGACTCAGGAAGGCTGCGGTGGTTGTCAACATTATCATCCTCTGTAGAGTCCGGGTGGTGGGAAAGGAAAAGGAGTAAGGCACGGAGGGAGGAGGGGGAAGGTGGGGGAAAGGGAGGACTTGGGTGCTGAGGAGAGCCAAGAAAGCCCCTGATGCAGTCAGCACACCCATTAGGGACATCAGCTCTCCTCTAAGCTCACTCACTTCTCAGCCAAGACAGTGCCATCCTTGCAGGCTAACACGTGACAACCCCTGCAAAGGGTGTGGTGTAAGAAAAGCAATGTGTTGCAATGAAACTTGCCGAATGCAACACTCAAATGCCCAGCAAGCATCCTGCTCCTCATGTGCCTCTGAAGCCCAGAGTCTGCTCAGTGACTGGCACATGGAAGATACTGAGAAGATGTTGTTTTAGGAGGAAAGGCCAGGCCACCATGAAGACACGGCTATATGCCTCTTGCTGTGGGGTTAAATGAGCCTGCAATTCCTCTCCCACAGGTAGGAATTATCAAAGCACCTGTAGGTCACTCGGATTAAGTTGAGGCTGTGGATATAAGACAGACACCATTAGCGGTCCTGCCCTGTCTTTCAGTGCTAGAATTCCTGGGGCTCTGTGGTCTCTCCTGCTAACACCCAGAAAGTACCCAAGTCATGTGCTGAGAAAATCGGCAGACATGCTGTTGACACGGTGTCTTTCCAGTCCTCTTTCTCTGTTTCAGCTCTCTCTACATTTTCTTTCCTGGTCACCTCCCCCCCACCACCACCTCTTCTCCCCTTTGTCCTCACGAAGGAAAGATGCTTTATGACTACAATGTCCCTCTGCTGTCCCTAAAGTTCTACTATGGAAATGAGCCCTCCCACAGCATTGTGACATCACTGTGCATTAGCTAGAGGCTGCCCGTGTGGGCTGGGCCCTTGCCCTGCTGGGAGCAGTGGCCCTTTCGTGACAGGGTCACCTATAGGGCCCTTTACCTTCAGGGCAACTCTCAGAGCATGGATCCCTCCTGATTTCTCTCTGGCCCAATGTTCCTCACGGTCAAGCTGCTCTTGGGCCGAAGATGCAGCCTGAAGGTATCTGGAAAAGAAAGTGTGGCCACACTGAAGAAGCTGGTTTCCCAACACCTGCAGGTGCCAGAGAAGCAGCAGCACCTGCTGTTCCGTGGCCAGCTCCTGGCTGATGACAAACACCTCTCAGATTACAGCATTGGGCCCAATGCCTCCATCAATGTTATCATGCTGCCTCCAGAGGAGGCAGCCCTGGACCAGACCCACCAAACCCAGCCCCTGTGGCTCCAGCTGGGCCAGGTCCTAGGCAAACATTTTGGGCCCAAGGATGCCAAGGCCGTGCTGGGGCTGTTGAGGCAAGAGCACGAGGAGCGCCTGCAGAGGATGAGCTTGGAGGCCCTGGAGCAGTTGGTGGGCCAACTCCTGGCACAGCAGCAGCTCGAAGAGCTGGCAGAGGAAAAGGAGGACTGGGCTGTTGCCTCAGAGCTCCGACAAAATGATGAAGGAGGAGGAGGAAAAGAGGAGAAGGAAGAAGAAGAGGAGGAGGAGGAGGCTGATCAGCAAACTGGCCCATCCCACTCTTTTGCTCACTAAACTTCCCCTGGACTGAACCTTCCATGTTCTCAGGCAATTTTTCTCATTACTTTCTCCTGATGGAGATGCATTCATCCCTCTTGTTGAACCTCTATATAGTTGGAAGGTATCTGGATCCTTCTATGCCCTCTAGCCTGTAGGTCCCCGTCTGAAGCGCAGAATGATTCTAGCACCATCATTCTCTGCTACAGGAGTTCTGGATGGGCCAAGGTTCCCTATAGAGACTGTCAAAGTTCACCGCAGCTCTGGGTGGAGAAGTTTTGCCCAAGCATGGCTCAGAGAAAGTCTCCATGACTCTAGACAGAGCCTCTCCTCCTTCAGAACAGAAAGACAGTTGAGTCTGTTGTCCCTTCTCATAGCATCCAGACCCCCCAACAGTATAGGGAAGAGGAAGGGCTTGACAGCTGCCCTTGAACTCTTGATGAGGCTGTCCCTGCTGTCCTGTTTGTCCTTCCATGGCTTCAGAGATGGGACAAGAGAGACAGAAGTCAGGGAAAGTGATTGCATGGGCCAGTCCTGGGGCTCACCAAAATTCAGATGAAGTCCCAGAATGGCAGGAAAGAAGCAGAGCCTTAGGTAGGAAAAATGGTCTGCAAGTGACACACTCATGACACACTCATGGCACACTCATGGGGCCAGCCTGAGTAGAGCTATGCCCATTGCCACATTCTGACTAATCAAGGTAGCACTGAACACCTGATACCTGGCTGGCATTGCCCAGTACTCCTTTGGAGAAAACAAAACAAAACAAAACAAAACAAAACGGTACCAACCAGGCCCTGTGCCTTCATGGGGCATATAGCCTAAATGAGAGATGTACCCAGGAAAAGCAAAGAGGTGTTATAAGAATATAGCACAGCCTACACAGACTCCATGCCCTGCTGCTTCTGCCTTGCAGAATGTGCCAGAGCAGGTCTTTTGTCTACCTGGGGTTAAGAGCGCAACTCTAGACCAGAGCTGAGGAGCCCAGGACTGTGTGTGTCGGGACAAATTCAGGGTTGCTCATTGAGAACCATGGTCCCCCATTTGCTGCTAAAGTCCCCCAAAGTACTGTTCCTGCAGAAGTTTCAGTCCTGGGGGCTGGAGATGAGACTGTGGAGAGAGCAGGGAGATAGATGCTTGGAAAGGAACAAGCAGAAGTCCTGTTTCTCTGGGAAGCACTCTGCCCTTGGTCTATAGGGCCCTTGACTTTCAGCCTAGTCCAACCAACATGTTGACTGGCATCCTTTCCCTGTAGGATGCTGAGGCTCTCTCCCTGTATCATAGCATCCACTCACCTCAAAGACATGAACTCAGGCAAGAGGCAAAGCTGGTAGGTATAGTTGGGAGCGGTGTTTTCCAGCAGGGAGCTCCACAGTGATGAGTGGAAGGGCCTGGGAATCCTCTACTGGGAAAGCTTGGTTGGTAGCATTGTTTTGACGTTTCTTGGCTAGAAACAACTTCATTTTGCTGATGGTATCCAGCTCTAGCCTGTCCGATAAGGCGAGAAGAAAGTCAGGACTACAAGAGTCTGAATGGGCTCTTCTCAGACTCACTGCCCACAGGTGGGGGTGGGGTGGGGTCCAGGCTGCTCCAAAGTTCCTATCCTGGTCCCACTCATTCCTGCTCCATTTGCCGTCTGCTGGGAGGTCTCATGATGGTTCTGTGAATTCATTTGTGCTGGGCCTGTGCCATTTGCCAAAGGGGACAAGCCTATTATCTTTACATTAGGGGAACTAATAGTCCATTTCCCAGGAAACCCTTTGAGCGATAAAAGTAAGTGGGCCGTTTTATTCTCTTTGCTGAGAGAAGCTGGCATGAAGGACAGGCAAAGCCTTTGCTTTCTCTGGCTAGTGTTCGTGGCAGAGAGCAAGGTAAGGCAGTCAGGCAGTCTCCTGCTTCTAAGGCAAGGAGGATGTGTCCAGTCCCAAACTGGGAAGAACAAAAGTTGGATCATTCTTTATCTGCACTGTGTGTCTCCTACTACTGATTCTGTCCTTCCCAAGGACCCTCCTGCTCCACCCCCCTCAAAAACTGAGCACCAGAGAACATGTGCCAACATGTGAAGCTTGGCAAACACTTAATGTGTTAACTTCCCCGGGGATGGTGTCACTCAATGCAGTGTCCCTTGTTGTATAGTTGTGGGCTTTGTTCCCTGAGAGGGGATAAAATTTAGAGTCACCAAGGAAAAGCAGGTGCAGATATATTGAAGACACATCATTAATGTGGACCAGGTCCTCAGCAGACTCTGAATCTTCCATGTGACTCCTGCTGTATGTGGATAACCCCAGCTCTTGGGTCACCTGCCACAAGGGTGCTCCACTCTACTAGCGACCAGTGGAAAGACTTTCTGTTCCCTGCTCTGCGTCACCACTTGGGGGACAGGGATGATAGGAACAGGGAACAAGCTGTTTCTGAACTTCAGCTTTGTGCAGATAGTTCTTTAACTTCTCACGTTAGCTCTCTCTCCTCCACCGTGGAGGTAACAGCATGACTCAAGTAGGTGTATCTTGTGCCAGCTTTGTGTTCCTGTCCACAGAGAAATTGGACTCCCCATCGTAGCTCCCTCCTGGATCACTTACCTTCAGTCCCAAACCCCTCTGGTTCCTGGCAAAACTATTTCTGATTGAAATAAGAATGGCGTCTTGGCCCATGTGTGATTATTGCACCATCCATTTATTTCATCCCCAAACATTTTTGGGCCCCTGTCACAGTCTTGTATCAGCTATGTTAAGATACCTTAGGCTTAGGCCATCATCTTTTGAATATTAAATGCCTCCCATAGGCTCATGTGTTTGAACACTGGGTCCTCAGTTGGTGATGCTACTTTGGAAGGTTGTGGGACCTTTAGAAAGTAGAGCCTTAGCTGGGCAATGGTGGCACATGCCTTTAATCCCAGCACTCGGGAGGCAGAGGCAGGCTGATCTCTGTGAGTTCAAGGCCAGCCTGGGCTACAGAGTTATCTCCAGGACAGGCTCCAAAGCTACACAGAGAAACCCTGTCTCAAAAAAAAAAAAAAAAAAAAAAAAAACCAAAATACACACACACACACACACACACACACACACACACACACACACACACACACACACACACACACAAAGGAAGTAGAGCCTTACTGGATGAAGTAGGTCATTGAAGGCAGCCCTTCAGTTTTTATAGTCTGGTCCTACTTCCTGCCTAGTGTGATGATGATCTGTCTCATGTTCTTACCACTGTGGTTCATTTACCTGGACTGTATCTTCCTTCTTACATGGTGTTTCTCAGGTACGCTGTCACCACAATGAAAAATGTAATGGACCACAGAAAAGTGTTGCCCACAGTTTGGGAACACTGGAAGTTTGAGGTCAAGGTACCAAGTCACTGTCTGCCGAGGAGGAGGTGCTCCTCACTGGTGGTACCTTCTAAAATATCCTCACACAGGCTAAGGGCAAATATGCTGCCTCCTAGGTCTTTACATGTGCATACACATGAGTGTATGAGCCTGTATGTGTGCAGGAGCATATGCAAGTGTGTGTATGTGTGTGTGTACATATGTGTGAAGGAATGTATGCATATGTGTGTGCAAGAATGTTAAGGTCAGAGGTTTGTTTTCTGGGGCAGTTTGTCACTGGCCTGAATAAAAGCCAAGTAGGCTGGATCTACCTGTCAATCTCCCTAATGCTTAGGATGACAAGAGGATGCTACCATACACAGCTTAAGTAGGCGCTGGGGATCAAATTCAGGTCCTCATGCTTGTGTGTGTGACAAACGCTTTACTGACTGGACTATCTCCCCAGTGCTCCTCCCATCTCTTACATAAGAACAAATTCCAATCACAAGGGCAAGAGCCCTCATGATTCAGTCACCTGCTAAAAGGCCCACCTCTTAATACTATTGCATCGAAGAGGAAGTTATCCACTCCCTATCAGCCTCCTCTCAAGCTTTGTGCTGGCAGCTTGAGCTGGCAGTAGAGGGGTCCTGGCTCCTGGACAAGAGTAGGGTGCCCCCTGCTGTCTCTTGCTGCAGGATGAGCAGAGGGCTTAAGCGGTTCTCAACCCTCCTAATGCTGTGACCCTTTAATACAGTCCTTCATGGCATGATGACCCCCAACCATAAACTTATTTCGTTGTTACTTTGTAGTTGGACTTTTGTTAGTTATGAATCATAATGTAGATCTCTGATATACAACCCCTGTGAAAGGGTGGTTCAACCCCCAAAGGGGCTGTGACCCACAGGTTGAGAACTGCTGGCTTAGGAGAAGTCCCCGATATCCTGCTTTGACCTATGATTGAGATGCGGCAGGTAAGACACATTGCTTTTCTCCTAGTTCTATTTTGTTTGTTTTGAGACGGGATCTCACCATTTATACCAGACTCCTTGCACTCTCAATCTTCCTGCCTCAGCCTCCTGAACACTGAGACTATGGGCCTATGATTAGGCCTGGAAATTTCTCCCTAGTTCAAGTTGGCCGGGCAGACAACGGTCTGTTAGGGTGAGAAGTCTTGCAGATGTGGAAGACGCTTACACTGTTCCAGAGCCCCAAAGATGCCTGATACCTGATTTTGGAAGTAAGCCCCAGCCAGGGCTTTCAGCTTCCACCCCTCATTTGCACCCCATCCCCCACCCCCAGCCTATTTGCTCAGGATTAAGTGAGACTTCAGCTGTTTAAAGCTTCCAGCTGTTTTAAACTGGGGAAGAGGGACATGGATGGAGGAAGTGGAGGGCACGGGCGAGCTTCCCCAGAAAAGCACCCCAATCCAGTTGAGACGCCTGAGGGAAGGCATGGCAACTCTGCATTGAGATGTGCACCAGATGGGATGGGCGGGCCGGGGGCATCTGCCATCTGTGCTGGGAGAGGTTCCATTAGGGGGTGAGGCTAGGAGTGGAAGACCACTATTTCCACATCTGGGACTTAGCTTGAACACAAGTTTGCTTTTGCTAAATGAAAACTATCATTGTGGGAAAGGCCATAATAAATGTAAGCCTGTCAGGATGTAGTTCTAAAACTGTTGAAGTTACTCAGCCCTTACTACAGTGGA